GGGGAAGGCCCACTTTTCACTTGCATATCTTTTTATTATGTTTTAATGTCTTGCTATGCCTATTTGGTCCATGTTTTTCTTTTTAATTAAAAATCATAACAGAGAGTCAAGGAAAATGAAGAAACAGGAAAATACAGTCCAGATAAAAGAACAAGATAAGTCTATAGAAACCAACCTAAGTGATTTGGAGATATGTGATTTACCCCACAGGGAATTCAATATCATGATTAATCTGATGCTCACTGAGGTCAGGAAAATAATGCAAGAACAAGCTGAGAACTTTAACAAAGGGATAGAAAGTATTAAAAAAATACTAAACAGAAATCATAGATCTGGAGAATACTATAACTGAACTGAAAAATTCACTAGAGGGGTTCAACAGCAAACAAAATCAAGCAGAAGACAGGACCAATGAATTTAAAGACAGGTCACTGGAAATCATTTGATTTGAGGAGAAAAAAGAAAAAAAGAATGAAAAAGGGTAAAGATAGCTTATGAGACTTATGGGACAACATTAAGTGGAATAACTTATATATTATCAATATGTAAAAAGAAGAATGAAAGAAGAAATAATGGCAGAACATTTCCCAAGCCTGGGGGAAGAAATAGCAAGATCCAGAAAGCCCAAAGGACACTAAAGAAGATGAATCCAAAAAGACTCACACCAAGACATATCATAATTAAACTGTCAAAAGTTAAAGACAAAGAGAATATGTTGAAAGTAGCAAGGGAAAAATGAATCATCACATCACACAACTATCAGTGGATTTCTCAGCAAAAACCTTACAGATCAGAAGGGCATGAGATGATAATTCACAAAAAGACCTGCCAAATAAGAATACTATATCCAGAAATTCTGTCTTTCAAAAATGAAGGAGTGTTAAAGGCTTTCCTAGACAAAAGATGAGAGAGTGTATCACCACTTGACCTGCTTTACAAGAAATACTAAAGGGAGTTCTTTAAACCAAAGGAAGAGGAGGCTAAGTAGTAACATGAAAACATATGAATGTATAAAACTCACTGATAAAATTAAGTACATTGTCAAATCTAAAACACTGTAATACTTAATGGTTGTGGCTAAATCAGTTATATCTCTATTTTAAAGATTAAAAGGCAAAACTATTAAAAATATAACCTAAAAGAAATTTTTAAGAAATATAAATTATTAGAAAATGTAAAATGAGACATCAAAAACAAAATGTGGGAAGAAAAGGAATAAAAGTGTAAAATTTATGTATGCAAACAAAATTTAGTGGTTAACAACAGTTCATTATAAGATGTTGTATGCAAGCATCAGGACATCATAAAGCAAAAGTCTATAAGAGATACACAAAAAATAAAAAGAAAATATCTAAAGCATACCATAACAGAAAGCCATCAAAGCAATCTGGAAGAAAGCAAAAGAGGAAGAAAGAAACAAAGGATCTTCAAAATGGCCAGAAAACAATTAACAAAATAGCACTAGTAAGTCCTTACCTAGCAATAATTACTTGGAATGTAAATGGATTAAATTCTCCAATCAAAAGGCATAGAGTACCAGAATGGATCTAAGACACAACTACATGCTATCTACAAGAATTTCGTGTGACCTTAAAGGGCACTTTTAGACTAAAAGTAAAGGGATGGAAAAAGATATTCCATGCAAATTAAAACCAAATGATAGCAGAAGTAACTATACTTATTTAAGAAAAAATAGACTTTAGTTCAAAAACTGTAAAAAGAGACAAAGAAAGTCATTATCTTGAGATAAAGGGGTAAATCCATCAAAAGGATATAACAATCACAAAAATATATACATGCAACATCAAAGCACCTAAGTATACAAAGCAAATATTAAGAGATCTGAAGGGAGACAAAGATTACAACACATTAATAATAGAGTGCTTCAATACCCTGCTTTCAACAAAAGACAAATGATCAAGACAGAAAATCAATAAGGAAACACTAGACATGAACTACACTTTAGGACAAATGGACCTAACAAACATTTTCAGAACATTCCACCCAACAGCAACAGAATAAACATTCTTCTCAAGTGCACACAGAACATTCTCCAGGCCAGATTGTATGTTAGGCCACAAAAATATGTTAGGCAACAAATTTTAAAAGATTGAAATCATATCAAGTATCTTTTCTAATTGTGATGCTATTATACTAGAAATCACTAACAAGAGAAATCAAGTAAAATTAACAAATATATGAACAGTATGCTCCTGAACAACTATTTTATCAAAGAAAAAAACACTAAAAGAAGAACAAACTAAGTATAAAACTAGGAGAAGGGAGAAAGATCAGAGCAGAAATAAATAAAATAGACACTAGAAAAATGATACAAAATATCAATATAACTAAGAATTATTTCTTGAAAAGATAAACAAAATTGATAAACTGTCAGCTATACTAAGAAAAAAGGGAGAAGACTCAAATAAACAAAATAAGAAATGAAATAAGAGACATTATAACTGGTAATACAAAAATGCAAAACATCATAAGAGACTATTATGAACAGACATACGCAAACAAATTGGACAACCTAGAAGAAACAGATAAATTCCTTGAAACATATAACTTACCCAGGACTGAATCTTGAAGAAATCAGAAATATGAACAGACCAATAACAAGCAAGGATATTGAATCAGTAACTACAAGTATCCCACCAAGGAAATGCACAGGACCAAGTGGCTTCATAGCTAAATCCTACCAGACCAGGTATTAGAGGAACTATTATAATACCAATCCTCTCAAACTGTTCCAAAAACTTGGGAAAAAGGGAATACTGCCAATCTCATTTTCCAAGTCCAACATTACCCTGATACCAAAGCCAGACAAAGTCACTACCAGAAAACTACAATCCAATATCTCTGATGAAGTTAGATGCAAAACTCCTCAACAAAGTACTAGTAAACTATATTTAACAGTACATTAAAAAGATCATTCACCATGATCAAGTGGGATTTATTCTTGGGATGTAAAGATGGTTCAACATATGCAAATCAATAAATGTGATTCACCATATTAACAGAATGAAGGACAAAAACCATATGATCATCTCCATAAGTGCGGAAAAAGTATTTGACAAAATTCAACATCCTTTCATAATAAAAACTCTCAACAAGTTAGGTATAAAAGGAATGCTCCTCAATACAATATAGGTCAAATATGACAAACCCTAAGCTAACATCATACTCAATGGTGAAAAGCTGAAGGATTTTCCTATAAGATCGGGAAAAAAACAAGGATACCCATTTTCACTCTATCTGTGCAATACAGTATTAGAAGTTCTAGCCAGAGCAAACAAGCAAGAAAAAGAAATAAAAGGCATCCAAATAGTAAAGGAAGATGTGAAATTGTCTGTTTGCTTATGAGATGATCTTATATGTAGAAAACCCTAAAGGATTGACAAATTCAGTAAAGTTGCAGGATACAAAACAACTTATAAAAATCTATATATTTCATACAATGCATGTCTATACATTAACAATGTACTATCTGAAAAAGAAATTAAGAATACAATCCTATTTACAATAGCATCAAAAAGAAACACTGAGGTGTAAATTAAAACAAGGAGGTAAATGATCTGTACACTGAAAACTATAAAACAATGATGAAAGAAACTGAAAATCACATGAATAAATGGAAGTATATCCCATGTTCATGGAATGGAAGAATTAGCATTGTAAAAATGATCATACTACCCAAAAGATCTACAGATTCAATGCAATCTCTATAAGAATTCCAATGTCATTCCTCATTCTACACAGAAATTAAAAAAAAATTCTAAATTCATTTGGAACCACAAAAGACCCTGAATAGACAAAGTAATCTTAAGCAAAAAGAACAAAGCTGGAGACATCACACTACTGGGTGATATTAAAATATATTACAAAGTATAATAATCAATACAGCATGGTACTGGCATAAAAACAGACACACCACCCAATGGTGTAGGACAGAGATCCCAGAAATAAACACACACATATATCGCCAATTGATTTTCAACAACAGTGCCAAGAATGCACAATGGAGAAAAGACAGTCTCTTCAATAAATGATATTGTAAAAACTGGATATATCCACATGCAGAAGAATGAAAATGGATGCTCATCACACCTGTATACAAGAATCAACTCAAAATGGATTAGAGTTAAATGTAAGTTCTAAAACTGTAACACTAGTAGAAGAAAACATTAGGAGGAAGTTCCATGACATTGGCATGGGAAGAGATTTCTTGGATATGAGCCCAAAAGCACAGGCAATGAAAGCAAAAATAGACAAATGGGATTGTATCAAATCAAAAAGTTTCTATACAACAAAAGAAAAATGTAATAGAATGAAAAGAGAATCCACAGATTGGGAGAAAATATTTACAAATCATACACTGAATAAGGGGCTAATGTGCTCATTTGACAGCATATATACTCACATTGGATAAGGGGCTAATATCCAAAATATACAAAAAATTCAACTACTCAATAACAAGAAAGCCAATAACCCTATTTAAAAAATGGGCAAAGGATCTGAATAGAAATTTCTCAAAAGAAAGCATACAAATGGCCAACAGATATATTAAAAAAATGCTCAGTATCTCTAATCATCAGAGATATGCTAATTAAACCACAATGAGATATCACCTCACATCTATTAGACTGGCTAGTAACAACAAGATAAATGACAACAAGTATCAGTGAGGATGGGAAGAAAAGAAACTTTCGTACACTGTTGGTGGTATTGTAAAGTAGTACAGCCATTTTGAAAAACAATAAGGAGCTTCCTTAAAAACTAAAAATATGATCCACCAATTCATCCAGCATTTCCACTTCTGGGTATATATCCAAGGGAAATGAAGCAATTATGTTGAACAGATGTCTGCACTCCCATGTTCATTGCAGCATTGGTCACAATAGCTAAGATATGAAAATGGCCAAAATGGCCAAAATGGCCATCATTGGAAGAATAGATTTTAAAAACGTGGTATATATATCCAATGGAATACTACTCACCCTGTAAAAAGCAGGACATTCTGTCATTCGCAACAACATGCAGGAATCCTAGAAGACATTATACTACGTGAAATAAGCCAGGCAGAGGGACACATGATCTCACTTACATGTGGAATCTAAAAAAGTCAAACTCCTAAAAACAAACAGTAAAACGGTGGTTACTAGGGGCTGGGAGTAGGGGAGATTGGGGAGATGTCAGTCAAAGTATACAAAATTTCAGTTAAAAATTTTCCCTAGTGCTGCCTAGTGCTCCACCCAGCTAATCAGAGCTTTTAATGTATATTACTTCTTTTGCCACTATTCTTTGCGTGTTGGGCTTTGTCAAGGGACCTCAAAGAACAGGGTAGCTAGGTCTTGAGAGACATAATGTCGCTAATACTGAGTCTCCTGACCTAATGCCATTAAATACCACCAAAATCTTTTCTCCCATCCCCTACCAATATGCACTTTTTAAGCAAGAAGATTCCTTGCATTGAATATTTTCCAAGATTTTAGTTGCTGATTTTCTTACACTGAATGACCACAATAAATCTCTTAGTCTACTTAATGGACTTCTATTCCTTTAGCTACAAAGCTCAGCCCATGCTAATGTGGAAAGATTTGAGTCAGAATTTATATGCCAATTGCATGTTTTCTACCAGATTATACTCCATTTTTCTAATTTTAAAGATTTAACAATATGGCATGTCCCAATGATCAAGTAAAATGAGCAACGTGCCCAGGCTATATAATGTGAAAAACAAAGGAAATTTTTCTGAAGTTTTACAATTTAAATGAAAATATTTTCTAGATACCAATTTATCTGGTTAATTAATGAAGAGAGCTCTCTAGTTATCTTTAGATTCTGAACTTGCTTTGTTCTGGTCTCTATTTTTATTGAGCTGAAAACACAGAAGGGAAAGAAAGTAGTATCTAGTGAGAGATCACTATACACTAGACTCTTTAAATAGACTGTCTTATTTCGCATGTATAATATTAGCTAGAGCAGTAATTTCAGAGAAGGAAAAAATGACCCTCAAAGAAGTTAAGCAGGCTGCCCAAAGTCACGCTGTTCATAAGTGACAAAGTCAAGAACTAAACCCAGGTATAAATAATTCCACATGTTGTACTTTCTGGAGAAGACAGCCAACATACCAAAATACAGATTTAAGAATAGAACCACACATACATGATAAAACTTGTGATTAAATTTAAAAATTGAATTTATATATATAAATGAGATAATACTACATACTTACCAGATAGCTAAAATAAAAAATGGAGATAGATGAAAAGAAACAGAACCTTTCATACATTGCTGTGGGAATGTAAAATGGTACAGTCAATCTAGAAAAATAGTGTGGCAGTTTCTTTTAAAAACTAAACAACTTTCACCATGCAATGCCAGCAATTACACTCCTGGGCATTCATCTCAGAGAAACAAAAATTTATTTCTACACGAAAACCTGTATACAATTATTCATAGCAGCTTTATATTTAATAGCCAAAACCTAGAAACAACTAAAATGTCCCTCAGTAGGTGAATGGTTAAACAACTGTGATACCCTACACCATGGATACTACTCAGCCACAGAAAATGACAACTGCTAACACAAGCAACAATTGGGATGGATCTCAAGGGGATTACCCTGAGTAAACAAATCCTATCTCAAATTATCACATACTCTATGATTCCATTAACATACTAGTCTTAAAAGGATAAAACCAGACAGATGAAAAAACAGAGTACCAGTTGCCAGGGCTTAGGAACGGGGCAGGGTAGGGCAGTGAGTGTGATTGCAAAGGGGGAAAACGAGGAGGGTCTCTGTGGTGATGGAACAGTTCTGTATGTCGACTGAGGCGGTAACACAGAAACCTGTGACAGAACAATATACACGTATTGGAGGAATGCCAGATTACCGTATTTTATATTGTATTATAATTTTTAAGATATAACCACAGAGTGGGTGGGGGGAGACTGTATGAAGGCTACATGGGACCTCTCTGTATTATCTTTGCAACTACCTATGAATTTATAATTATTGCAAAATAAGTTTTTAAAAATTGTATCTGGGTGTATTAGTTTCTTGGGGCTGCCATAACAAAAAAATACAAACCGGGTGGCTTGAACAACAGAAATGTATTGTCTCACAGTTCTGGAGGCTAGAAGCCAAAATCAAAGTGCCAGCAGGGTTGGTTCCTTCTGATGGTTATGAGGGAGAATCTGTTCCATTCTTCTCTCCTAGCTTCTGGTAGCCCCAGCTGTTCCTTGGCTGGTAGATGATATTCTTTCTCTGTGTGTCTTCACAATATCTTCCCCCTATGCATACCTGTCACCGTGTCTAAATCTCCCCTTCTTATAAAGACACAGTCAGTATTAGAGCCCATCCTAATGACCTTAACTTGATCAGCTGTGAAGACCATATTTCAAAATATGGTTGGTCACATTCATAGGCACTGAGGGTTAGCACTTCAAGATCATTTTGGGAGACACAATTCAACCCATAACACTGGGTCTAAAAGAATCAACTGTACAAGTATAGGAGAAAAAACCTGGTTGAAAGGCAATTCATATTTTAAAAAAATAAGCTAACAAACCAAAACTGTCAATTTTTGGTGATAGGTTCAACCTAAATTAATAGTTTAACAAGACTACTTTAAAAAAAGAATGGTGTCTTCCATTGCATTAATAGATTCAGATCAAAGATGAACACAGCCAAAATCTCTTTCACCTAGAGGATATCATATGGAATTTTCGAATCTGTTTGGATGTTGGGGGTTACTCATGAAGTTAAATGGATTCATAGAACTATTGTCTGAAAACCAAGTTGAAGTAAATGAAGATGCTGAAGACATAAGGTGACATATCTATCTTTAAAGTATTTATCTTTTATATCCCTCATACTGCCTTAAAAAGTGGTATACCTTTTGTTGAATGAATGACAAAGCTTAAATTGTCATATTTAGTACAACAAAAATAGGTAATATTAAGGCCAGAAGAACTTCCTGAAATTCAGAATGTTGGCTGGGCACGGTGGCTCATTCCTGTAATCCTTGCACTTTCTGGGCAGTAGCGAGACCTCATCTCTACAAAAAATAGAAAAATTAGCTGGGCGTGGTGGTGGATGCCCATAGTCCCAGCTATTCGAGAAACTGAGTCCCAGCTATTTGGGAGGCTGAAGTGGGAGACTCACTTGAGCCTAAGAGTTTAAGGTTGCACTGAGTTATGATGACGGTGCCACTGCACTACATCCTGAGTGACAGAATGACACCCTGTCTCTGCCCCTCCCCCAAAAGGTAGTATAATTAACAACACAAATTCTATAAAGTTCAATGCTACATGTTTTCTCCTTAGAGATATATATCAGTATTTCAAAAGCTCTGAAAAGTTCTACATTTTTCATCACCACAGAAAAGTTTAGAAAAATGCTATTTCCATTCTTGCATAATTTTTCTTTTTCATGAAATTAACCATTGTCTTTTTTAAGTTGGATTTGTATTAAGTTCTCACTCCAATTTTACCATATCTTGTTAGAGCTATCAAACATCTATCAATATAATTTCCCAAATACTCAAAATTAGATCATTTACAATTTTAATTATTTCAACCAATTTTTTCCCCTTGAAGCCTGCCATCTTCCTGCTCCACTGAAAAGGGGTTGCTCTCTAATTCTGCCACATCTTTCTCATCCTGGGGTTTCCCTTTCCTTCCCTTTTCCCAGTCCTGTTTTCTGGATCCCATGTCTTTCTCTTTCTTAACTCCCATGTTTTCAGGGAACACATTCTCTAGTAGCTTTCTTAAAAAAAGAAAAAGTGAATGGAAAGTATTTGCATTCTTGTATATGTGAAAATTTGTGAAGACATTTTTATTCTGTTCTTATACTTGATGGATAGTTTGACTAAAGAATTTTAGGTTGTAAGTTATTGTCCTTCAGAACTTTGAAGGAATTTGACTTTATTGTGTTTCAATAGAGTGTAACTTAAGAAATCCAAGGACATTCTAATTCCCATTGCTTTATTCTTGTTTCTTCCCTCTGAAAACTTTTAGAATCTTCTCTTTATTCTTCATCCTCTGACCTTTTTAATGATATGCTTAATCAGTCTTTTTATGTGGTGGTCCCTTTAAATAAGAAGACCCTGGTCCTTCAGTCCTGGCAAAATTTTTTGAATTGTTATTTTGATCATTTCCTACCTATGTATGTTTTGGTTCTCTTTTTCTGGAACTGTTAGTTTTTCTGATTAACTGGATGAATGTATGGATGGAAAAATTTTCTGAGCACTTTTTGTAGCAAAAAGCTTATTAAGCAATAAAGCACAGAGTATCAGACAATATCTTTAGTGTTAAACATTTTATTACAAACGACCAAAATATTTAAACACACTATTTGATTACAACTTTCCACTAATGTAAAACCTAACATTGCCATTTATGCCAGGTAATGCATAAAAACAGAAGCAGTTCTCTGTAGGCTGAAATCCTCTATTCAAGTCAGATATTCTTTATTACTGCTGCCCTAAAATTCATTAAATACCTAATATGCTCTTGGCGTTATATACATTGATACTATTTGCACTCATACCCTACAAAATAGTCATCTAAGTAAAAAAGGTGTTATTTAAGGCAGAAAGATGGAAAGATATTTGCAGTCTTTTTAGTTTGTCATTAAACACTGATTGCATTCCTCTAAGATCTATAAAAAAAGAGATCATTGTAGTCTTACCTGGAGTTAGAGGCATGGACTCCCAAGGTGATTTTTCAATTTCTCTACAGACATACCTACAGAAAGAAGAAGAGGGAGAGAAGCAGATCCCAAATAACGGGAGTAAACACTTGAAGTCATTCCGGTATGACAGGTTTATCATCCACTCCTCCCTCCAGGGGAGCCAGACCCCGTTCCCAACACCTCCTCGCCCCCACTCCACCATCTGGAGGTTTGGCGACTCCGAGAAGACTCGGCCCACAGAGGAATCCTCCTTGTTTGACCAATCCGGCACCTGCCAGCAGGCAGGCGTGAGAGGGGCTTTCCCAAAAGGAAAACTTTCCCGAACTTGGGGGCTGGGGGAGGAAGACAAAAGGAGCGCGCCGCTGTCTCCCTTCCCCGCGCCCTGCCGGCCCCACTCCCTCGGCGTGGGCGGCGCGGGAGGATCCGGGCCTGGGGCCGAGGCGAGGGCCCGCCCCGCTCCCGCCGGTGTCCGCCGCTGACGTCGCCCGTGAAGTTTGGGGAGGGAGGAGCCCGGGCGGCCGGGCTCGGTGTCGGGGCGCGCCTGGGAGGGCTGCGGCCGCGAGAGGAAGCTCCTCCTCGGCGCGGCGCCGCACACTCGACCCACGTCTCTCCGCGAGTTTGCTCCGGCCCCGGAAAAGCAGCAGCTGGCGCGGGCCGCCTGGGGAATGGGCGGCCTCGTGACCTGAAGTCCCGGCGCAGGAAAGGCCTGGCCGGCCTCGCTCGCGCAGGGGCGGATCGGCGCGCCCGAGCGCGGCCGGCGCAGCAGGAACCGGCCGGCGGCCCGAGCGCCCGCGCCGCCCGCGACCATGAACGAGGAGGCCATCTGCAGCGCGCTGCCCACCGTGCCCTACCGCAAGCTCGCCGACCTGTGCTACCTGAGCCGCGGCGCCTCGGGCACCGTGTCGTCCGCCCGCCACGCAGACTGGCGCGTTCAGGTGGCCGTGAAGCACCTGCACATCCACACCCCGCTGCTCGACAGGTAGGGCGCCACCGGGGTTCCTGGGCAGAGCCTCGAACTCTGCTGCACCCCCCTCACTCACCCCTACCCCGGGCTAGCGGGCTCTAGAACCGAGACTGCAGTGACCACTTGGGGCAGGCCCCACCCATCCCTCTTCCCCGGGCAAACCGAGCTTGGGGCCGGCATGCTGGGGAGAACCGGCTTCTCTGGAGAAGCAACAATCCCATTCCTCCACTCATCTCTTCTGGCCACGGCCCTTACTCTCCCCTCTTACTCTGCCAGGTGTCCTCACTCCATACTCCGAAAAGCAGCAATCACAGCCCAACTCTAAACGCCCTGTCTGTGGATGTTGATGTGTGTTTATGTAGTAGGTGGCATAGTGTTTGCTTTGACATTTCCTGTTTTTTTCGAAATTGAGCGGTAGGGTTTCACTGTCCAATAGGTAGCTCTTAGACACAGGTGACTCTTGAGCGCTTGAAATGTGGTTATCAGAATTGAAATGTGCTATGGGTGTAAAATACAAACCGGATTTTGAACACTTAGTGCTTAAAAAGGGAACACCTTGCCATGTTTTATTAATATTTTTATATTGATTGTATACTGAAATTATATTTTTATATATTGGGTAAAATATATAAGAAATTGTTCAAATTCATTTCACGTGTTTTTTTTTTTCTTTTTGTTAATGTGGCCACTAGAAAATTTAGAATTGTACCTGTGTGGTTTGCATTACATCTTCCTTGGACAGCACCGCTCTAGAGTCCGGGATATTTTGGTTTGAGCTTTTTATTGTTTTTGTTTATTTTGTGGTTTTTTATGCATAATCATGAAAGTTTAAATATCAAACTCAACATTAACAGTTCAGTTTCTCCCACTCTCACAGGGAAGACTGTCCCTAGAGGAAATGTGTGTTATTTTTGTTACAGTAAATTGAATCAAAAGACTGTTAGATAGCCAAAAATTTAGAATGTCTCTCACATCCTCATTTTTTCCGGGTTTTCAGGAAGGGTTACCATATTACTGTTTTCAAAAAAAATTACAACCATATACTGTAGAGCTGTGACTGTGTATATTTGTCAGTGGCTCTAGTCACTAATTTTGTGTATTTTCGTTCCTATAAAGATTTAACTAGGGCCTTGATTGCAACATTCCCTTTTCTCCCTGTATGAAATGTAAAAATACACTATCATAGATGCTTGATTGGCCAAAAGCTGTTAGTATCCAACATCAGATAAATTCCTCAGCTTCAGCCCTGCCAAAGTTACTGGACTTTCATCTATTTACCTGTGGCTTTTCTTTGTTTTCTCTCAGTATCAGGGTTGGATGAGCTAGATGACGCCACAGATTTGGGACACCTCTAGATGTTTTTGCTACTCTTTGTACACCATAATTCAAGTTCAGTGATATATGGGGTGTGGTGTCTGTTTACTCTGGGCCTTATTTTCTGTGGAGCAGGTCCTGGGCAAGTGTGCGTATGTCCATGTAGTCAACTTTAAAGGGTGGTGGTTGGTTAGAGAGAGTAGATATATTTTAGAACCAACTATGCAAATAGTATATGGAAATGTAGCACTGATGGACCCATTAGGTATTCTGAAGCCAATTGATCATCCCATTTTGGATCCTGCTTCTCAAGATTGTAATTTATCTAAGGCTCCAGGGGTCCTCAAATTATGGCCCACCTAGGACATTTATCCATCCCGCCTGGTGTTTTTGCCGCTGCTGCCTGTCCTGCTTAGCAGCTGACTCGTTCTGGGCCCACAGTACGCATGTGTGGAATATGCGCTGCACTCTCTAACAGTCTCCAGTGGTCTGAGGGACAGTGAACTGGCCCCCTGTTTAAAAAGTTTGAGGACCCCTGACTAAGCTTTGTGCCATTTGGGGGCCAAGGACTGAAGAGGGAGTTCCCTTCCCATACACTTAACAATTTTCATAGTCTAAAATTCTTCACTGAATTGGGTAGGAAATAATTCTGTCTTCAAAGAAGCCATAAGTCCAGTGAAACACTTTGGCATCGCCACATCACATTCTTTTCTCCAGCTTGTTACCTAAGGCCTCAACATTAGCAGTATTTATGTAGTTTGGGCATAAGACTAGGCTATGCAGTTGACTCATAGGGTGTCTATTTCCTCTCACATAAAGTAGGAATAATAAACACATGTACTTCTTGGGTTCTGGTATGGCTAATGTTTACATTGTTCTTTGGGATCAACTAAAAGTAAAATAAGTTTAAGTGATGTTACCTGTTCTTATTTTAGTGATTGGTGAATCATTTTCCATAATCTGACTTCTCTCCAGTGAATAGACCTTCCCCAACAATCTTCCCATCCCTGATGAGCAGATGAGTCCAATCGGTTGTTCAAATACCCTGTCAATGACATAACTTTTTTTAATTGAAATTTTGAGTGGGGTAATTTTAGCATTATGTCTATAAAAGCTGTATTTTACATTTTTACTTTTAAAAATGTAAAAATCTTATTTTAAAAATCTTTCGCTTTATTTTCCCACTCACTCAATCTTTCCAAAATCCAACTTCAAGAACTTTCCAACTTTCTTCTCTAATCAAGTAATGGGGTAGAAAGAAAACAGGCTTTAGAGTTCCATGATTGCTATTCAGATCCAACTCCAACCCCGCCACTTATTATTGGTGTGGCTATAGAAAATTAATTTTTCTGAGCCTCTGTACCCTCATATGTAAAGTTTTGATAATGAACCAACTTTAGAGGGTTGAGCTTAGGATGATAGTACATATAAAGTGGCTGACACATAATAAGGTTACAGTGGAAGGAAGACTGCCTCATACTCATAATGGGAGGAGGAAAGAGTGGATTAAGTATCAGTGAGACTTCTGCAACGTGCCCTCTCTTTAGCTTTTTCTCAGTATCCAGGAATCTTCAGGTTCACTCTCTGTGTCTTGTTGGCCCACATTTCTTGGGCAAATACAGAACTCTACCAACTTAGGAAGTATAAATTTAATTAAAACAGATCTCACGTCCATTGCTTGCTGTGTATGAAAAATAAAAGAAATAAAATTTTTTAAAAAAACCAGACCTCACAAACTGATATAATTGGTTTCCTCACAGTTGGGTCATTAAGTGATTAAAGGACACAGAGAAAGAGAGAAGCTTATCACACTTTATGACTTTCTATTTATTATTCTTGAACTTTGAAACATATAAATATATTACCTATTCAAAAAATAAATGACTAAGATTTTGGTTTTTGTTTAGTTTTTTTTTTGGTTTGTGCTTAAAGCAGGCCTCATAATCTGGTCTTGGATGTCTGTTGTTATTCTTATTTCAACAGCCATTCATCCAGAGCTTGGGTAGCCTAAGAGCCAACTTAACCATTGTCACTTACCTAATAGGCTTCTTCCGGAAATGTTTCTATTTCTGTAATTGCTGCTACCAACACCCAGTTATCTAGGGTAAACAATTATGACATCTCCAATTCCCTTCCATTTCTATTAAATCCCTCACATTCAGTCAGTCACCATGACATGGGCATTCCATTCAGCTAGTGTTTTTCTTTCCATTTCCACTACTACTTTTATAATTTTAGTTTCTCATTGCTTCACATCTTGACCAGTATTAAAATCTCCTAACCTGACTTTCAAACTCTACCTCTTCCTGCTGATCCTACATCCTGCTGCCAAAGTAGTGATCCTGAAATTTTGTCCTACTGTCATTCTCCTGCTCAGAAACCTTGAGTTATGCTGGACACTATGGCAGGTACCTCTGTAGTCTCAGCTACTCAAGAGGCTGAGGTGAGAGGATCACTTGAGCCCAAGCGTTCAAGTCCAGCCTGGGCAACATAGTAAGACCTTGTCTCTTGAAAAAAAAAATGTATGTTAAAAAAAATCCCATCAATTACAACCCAGTGACTACCAAATAAAGTTTAACACCCTAACCTGGCTTTAAACTCTGAGATGTGGCCCTACCCTATGTTATTCACCCTCACTCCTTTTGTATTACACCCCCTGTTCCATATTAAACAATTCACAATTTCCTAAACATAGCCTTCACTTAACTTCCTTGAATTCATTTAATACATAGCTATTGGACATCTGCTATATTACTATAATATATGCTAGGCACTGTTCCATGTCCTAAGGATAACAGGTAAAAAAAAAAAAAAAAGAAAGGCAAGTTCCCTTCTTTCGTGGAGGCCTCATCCATCTTAGATACCCTCTCTCCACTGTTGAAATTCTATCCATCTTTAAGGTACAGCTGAAATCCTACATCTCTAAAGACTGTGGTGGCTTCCCTAGCCCAAAATTTACTCTCTCTTTTCTTGAATTCCCCATGGTTTTGTTTTGTTTTCTTTTCTCTTCTTTTCCTTTCTTTTCTTTTCTTTTCTTTTTTTTTTTTTTTGGTGAGACTTGTCACATTCTGCCTTATATTTTTATTTTTTTTTAAAGATTTCTGAACAACTTGAAGGCAAAGACTATGTCTTTTTATCTTTATAGTCTCCATAATGCTTAACACAGTTCTTTATAATAAAAGTTAAATATTTGCTTTATGCATGAATAAGCAAATAAACCTGGGATCCAGAGTAACCACAGAAATCTGTTATAAGCATTTACCTGTTCTCAGTGTTCTCTTCCTGAGTTCTGGTATATAATTTCTAAATGTTATTGATCTTTATGTAGCTGTTATCATCTAGTCATTTAAATCTATAGCATTTAAAATTTTTAATAGGATATTTAGAAAAATGTTACATGGTATACAACCATAAAATTTAATATAATATAATCAAGTCAGTTTATTTTAATATTAACACAACATAAATTTAATTATTTAATTAGTTCAAGCACCAGTCATTCTAACATAGATAGGCTTTATAAGTTTACT